TATCCTGCAGAGCTAAAGGAAAAATGGATGTCTTTATGTATGGTTATAGGTATTGGTTCAGATATTTCTGTATGCAGCTGTACACAAATAATTCCCAGTACTCAACCAGGCTTCTTTAATTCACAGCACTTACCAGGCAGTATGATAACTTTTCCTAAATAAACATCACAAAATCTTTTCCCAGGTATATTTAACATCATACTTGGCCTGCTCAGACCGTAGTTTTTCTAGATGAATTGTGTATTAATGTGTAATTGACAGTGTTCTATTCATTACCACTGGTACTGCTATAATTTATTTTTATGTATTTAAAGATATAACAATTTTTTTTTCAGATTTACCATCCATCTTGTTACGAAGATTATCAAAATGTAAGTGAATCCTTCTTCATACTTTCTGAAGCATTTTGCTTTCAGTTTGTTTGCTTGATCTCTGACTTTGCAGGGAGCACAGGTGTTCAGTGTACTGCCCATTTCTCTTGCCTAAGACTTGGAGGCCTTGGGTGTGGCAAGTTTATAATACAGAATTAGCTAAGATGCATTTTTGCTTGTGAGGTACCATGACAGCTTGTGTGCCACAAAGCAAAGCCATGGTTTGATGGATTTATTGTTGAGTAACATGTGTAATCTTAGGAATTTGTAAAAATCAAGTAGCTGGGTGTTGGTGTGTGTGATGTTTTTAATGCTTTGGGAATTACAGTTGCCCTGAGGGCACATAGAAGGGAACAGTTCATGGTAACGTGTTAAGCATTTCATCACTGCTTGGTGGTAACTTTTCAAAGGAATTGGAAAAAAAGCAATGCCATTCAAAATATAAATTTGGTTTTTAGGAACTCAGTAAGGCAGAAGTTTGGCTTTTGAGTGCCTGTCCATCAACATGTTTGCATTTTGAAAAAGGGCAAAAGGGATGAAAAGCTAAAAATTGTCATTTTAATGTGCTGACACTACTTTAACTTTGCAGACATCGTCATTCGATTGCACACCATCTCCCAGCAAGACTCCTTCAGAAAATCCACTAAATATAATGTTGAACATTGTTAAACAAGAAACAGAAGAGTCCTGTGACTCACCTAAAATCAAAGAAGAACCTGATGACACCCCACCTGTCTGTGCAGAAGAGAGCACACCCACATCTACAGATATAAAAACAGAACCTGAGGAATCTGTTTAAATAAACTGAGGTATGATTTTTTTTTTTAACAGAAGAGCTGCTGTATTAATTCTGGAAGACAAATACTTTTTATATGAATAAAAATGTCCAACTGAGGCAGGGCCTCAGGTACTGTTTGGTTAATAAATACATTTTTGTATTTGAAATTTCTTACTGCCTGCACAGTTTCAGGTGTCATTGTGTGAAAGTTCTGTAGATGCGTGAAAATTTAATGGTATATGTAAAAATGTAAAATTTTCATTTGTTGAAATGTAAATTATAAATAAAAGATATTTTTGCTATATATGGAGTGTGATGTTTATGCACACCATCAAATGAAGAGTGTGTTTCTGTACTTTTTTCAGTTTAAAATTAATTAAAATGAATTTTTGCTTAATATTCAAAAAAACGAAAGCAAGTCTCTTCCTTCAGTTATCTGATTAGGTGGGTTATCAAGGGAAGGAGTTTCTCAGACAGACAAGCCTGGATTTCTTGTCTTTTTAAACTTATTTGAACAAACTTACATATCCAGATGTTTAAAAAAACAATTACAACGTCATCAAAATAATAACAATAATAATTTAAAAAAGTCACAAAAAGACAGTTCTGGGTAGAAAGGGACAATTTAATAAACCAACTGGAGTGCTTGATTGTGGTGAACACAAGTGCCAACAAAAAAAATTAACAAACCAGGATGCCTGGTAGTTAAGACATTTTTAATGATTTTTTTTCCATTAGTCAAACACATAAATTTAAGAAAGCTGAACACTTTTCTTTACGTTACAGGGGGGAATGAATGTAAGAATGCTCATTTGAAACATGGTTAACGTTTTCTTTTTTGTTGCTTATTATGACTGGACTTAGATGGTAAACCAGATATCCTGAGATGTTAATATTTCTTAAATGTTATAAATAAAATTAAGCATAGATTTGAGTGTGAGTCTCTTTCTTTCAATAATGGGTCCATTGGCTGGTACATTTGTGGGATTGGAAATAATCGTAGTTGTGTGTTTTAGGACAGTATGTATTTGTTCCATTCACTCTGCTATGTATAGTGCATATTTTTAAAGCTGCTGGGAGCAAGGCAGAAGTACTAAAAGTAAGAGAGCAGTGTCACAATTCCTAGTGTGTTACTCAATTCCTAGTGTGTTACTCTTGCAGTAGGGTTACTTTGGAGTCAGAAATAACCAGCAGTGCAGGTGATGTTATTGGCTGCAAAAACTTCTTCCCGTGTTCACACCCAGGCTTCAAGCAGTTTTTAAGATGTAAATAATACTTTGACTCTTGTATTAAGGTTGTAGTTGTAGTGAGTGTGCCCTGTTCTAGATACCAGCCTTAAAAGTGCTATGCAATTAGAGATAGTCTAGAGGAACAAAAGTACATGATAGATCAGGGTTATGTCAGTCCTTAGGGTGGTGTGTCTGGCTGCTGGCTGTGCTGTGGGGAAGTTACTCAGTGTTGGAAGTTCTTCCTGGAGCAGGGTTGTAGCCTGGCCCACTGGCCAAAATGATGCTTTATGTCCTGGAATACTGTAAACTTCTCAATCACACCAGTTGAAGTTTGGAGGAGACTGAGCAAAGACGTGATGTCTTTAACTATGTACAAGGCCGTTAGAAAAAGGGAAAAATTATTCTGTCTACTAGAGAGTAAACAAAAAGAGACCTATACGTTGCAGCAAGAGGCTTTATGACAACTCTAATGACGAGGATAATTAGGCTCTAAGTGTACCTCCCTTGGTCCATGTAGTTATCACTGCACACCTGTAAATCTGACTGGGCTCATATTGCCTCCTAGCAGAACTCTGGAAATGCAGGGTCCTTTCTGTCTCATCAAAGGAACCCAGCTTCCTTCTGGGCACCTTCTGTCATTGTTGGGAAAAAAGTAAAGGGGATTAAAGATACAACTTGACTGGAGACTGATCGTGCAGCGGGGAGAGCACGGGTTAAATACGTCGCGGTCAATGTATCACTGGGAGGTTCAGAGATGAGAACTGGTACTTGTTACCCTTCTCCCTGGGGAATGCCATGAAGGCACTAGCCCAGGGCTGCCTAGAGGTGCAAAAAGCCACCATTCTGCGGCTACAGCCATGCACAGCCAGCTGCGGTGCAGCTCGCACGGCGGGACCCGTCCTGCTCCCTGTCCGCCGCACCGCGGCCCGGCACCCGCCCCTCTCCCGCACCGCCGCCATTTTCCTCCCGCGGGAAGGAAAGGGAAGGCGAGCCAGGGGGAAGCTCACGCGGTTGCCCATTAGCAACGGGGAGGAGGAGGAGGGACTTGTGCGGCGAGGGGCCGCTGTGCCCCCCTCTGGCTGGTGAGACTGCTCCGCCCGCGCCTCCTCCTTCCCCTTTCGCTTGCCCGGCGAGGCGGCGCCCCGCGAATGGCTCGGGGTGGGACGGGCTCGGTCCGCCGCCGCGCTCCCTCCGGCTCGGGTTCCCGGCGTCCCCGGTCTGTGGCACAGACTCCGCCGAGACACACACCCCTTATGCCGAGGATGCTCCGATATCCACCAGACGCGCGGGGAAAGGCGGGAGCGGCGCTGGCCGCCCGGGCTCGCCCGCCCTGCCCCCGGGCGACTGGCTGGCTGGCCGGGCCGGCCTGCCGGGCCGGGCTGGGCTGGCGGCTCCCGCGGCCCTGGAGCTTGCTGCCAAAGGCGAGCTGTGCGGGATTGTCTTTGTGTGTTACGGGAGCGTCGCAACACCGAACAGTGCCTCTTTCCCCTGTTCTGTACCATGTTCTTCTTCCCTTAATCTCTTTAATTGAATTTTGGGTAGGTACTGATCTCAAAATCCTTAGTTAATTTTTTCCACAAAGTTTTCTCCTAGGACGTCCAGTGTTTGATACCTTTCATACCTTCTTTTTTTTTTTTTTTTTTAATAGAAATTGTACTAAAATTGTGGGGCCTGCCCTTCACTTTGAAAATCTGTATTTTTTTACAGAACTGATGTTAACAGCTGTTTATTGAACTTCAGACCCAGGGCTGCTGCCTTTGTCTTGTGTCAGGCAGCCATGCAGCCATCCCCCCTGGGCATCTGTCTCCATGCAGCTGCAGGTCTCCAGAGGGGGAGGGGAGACAGTATTTCTTCTGCTAGTGGGCCTTGTTGTTTGCTTTCTTCTGGACAAAAAACAAAAAAGGGAAAAAAAAAAGATCTTGAAGTTGCTGCACTGTAACATTGTGTTAAACACAGTAGTACTTTGCCAAGTAGTGCAATCGGCCAGATCTGCCTGTGATTTAAAGTTGTATAATTGGGCTGCAATCTCTAACCCTCACTTGTTATAATGAGAAATTTCTCCCTTATGGGAAAATTATATCCTGGTGATACTGTTTCTTAAAAAAAACCCAAACCCACCAAACAACAAAAAACCCAAACCAAACAACTCAAACTACAAAACATTCTTAAATATTATTCAGAAACATGAACTAGATGACCTCCCAAAGCCCCTTCCAGCCTAACCTATTCTGTGTTTCTGTGCTGCTGCTCTTTGTTCAAACAGTATTTTGCAGGATGGAGTCACAGTTTCTAAGCGAAGCAGTGATGCAGCCTGGGGAGCAGGGGAGGTGGAAGTGGAGTTACACGCACTCACAAGATTGATGGTGTGTTATAGCACACACAGGGTGTGTTCCTGTCAGCCTGGAGTACTGAAACAGCTTCAGCCATTCTTTCCTCTCTGTTACAAACCCAAATCTGCCTGAGCACTACTATCACACTACAGAGCACGTGAAAATAGGCACTGGTAAACTGCACAGGCTGCTTTTAGTGCTTTTTTACATATATTACAAACATGTTCATGCAATATCACATTTATATTATTTAATATTTTTTACCTCAAATTGTGTAACAGTCTACTTCTACCATTTCTTCTCCACAGGTGGAGAAGCTGAGACACTTAATAACTTAAGACCTACAGTTTTATGCTTGCTTGACTTGCAAAACAGTAGCCCACCTCTTCAGGACTTCTAACAGCGTGAAACCTAATCAAACAGTGTTAGTACATTTTGGTACTGGAATAATGACTACTGTAGAAGGTGAATACTAATTGGTTTACCTTCCTTTCATGCCTGGCTGTCTGAAGCTAGTCCCCTCAGCCATTAGATCCACTTACATCTCATATTTCTATTTACAAGTTTTGTCAAGATATCAAGATGTTGCCAGGGGATTTGGATATGTAACTCCCATTGTTTCCAGTCATGTAGTTAATCAGTGGAAAAGCCTGAAGGGAGGACATAGGTTATTTGATTCCATGGCCTGGTGACAGAATATTTTTTTTTACCCTATGCTTCTACATTTAGAGTTTCATTCTGTGCCATTGAGGTCACTGAAAATGTTATTGACTTTGGTGGGAGCAAAATATCAGACTGCTGAAAAGTGAGCTGTGACAGAACAATGCTGTAATTCTATCAAGAGAGCAACACAGGATGACTAGCATATTGTACAAAGAACTGCCTTTAATTTTGACGTCAGTTTATCCTGAAGATGATCTGTGTAGCTCAGTCAAGAGCAGTTACATGGTATGCTCACTTGGTGAAGGCTCTGGTGCCCTCCAGTGTGATATGCCATGCTGTGCTAAGTCCTTAGGCAGCTGGCAGCAGCATGTGGAGCACCTGGGAAGTGATGGCTGAGAGCTTGTTTGCCCAAGTGAGAAGCCTTCCTGGTGTTATATTTGTAAATGTGATTAATGAAAGAGTTTGTGATGGCCACCCACAGTTTAAGAAGAGAGACAGTTTTGGGGTGAACCTGCTCTGGCACTTGCTAACATGGAGTATCTCCACTTCCTGCTCTTCCTGTGCTTCTTGTCATCTTTCTACTGGGTTTTACTCCTGGGCCCTTTACTGGGGCTGAAGGGCCATGCGTGTCTCAGGTTTTGGCATATTGTTTTGTTCCTGATGAACAGCAGTGACTTAGGAGTTCCACTGATATGAATCTCAATCATATGTTACTCTGGACATTTTAGCTGGTTTTGTGAAGCTATCACACGGATGTTTCTTTGATTCATCACTTGTTATGTATCTCTTATATGTTGCTGATTTAAGCAACTGACTAATGCCCTTTTATTGTTCCTCACTAGTTGTCGAGAAGAAGCAAAATTATACTAGTGTGCATGAAGCAGTGAAAGCTGGTGATGTAGAACAGCTTGCATTGATGATTAAAAGTGGAGCTGGTGTTAATGAGGTGGATGTTGTCCACAAATTCACACCCTTGCACTGTGCTGCCCACTCCGGAAGTCTGGAGGTAAAACATTACATTGGTGTTTAGTCACAGCCAGGTTTTTGTATGTTCATATTTCCTTCTTTGGGAGAGGCTGGACACAACATTGCTATCTTGAGTCAAACTGAATCAATAATCTCTGGCTGCTTTTCTCATTAAATATATTCACCTAGAGCAGAACTACAGCATTTTAGATTTTCTTTTCTTTCTTTTTTTTTTTCTTCTGAAGCCCCAGACATTTCACCTAATCAACTTTGTCAGATTTTACTAAATCATTGATTTTCTTACTCATCAAAATGTGCCTTATGGCCTCCCTTCCAGACTCATGACCTCCTTTTGTCCCTGTTGTGTTTTCCTCTTCTCTTGAGAGACCTGGAAAATCCTACAGAATGTGTAAAATGTTCTGAAGGTGATTGAAACAGATAAAAAGTGACATGAAAACATGTTCATTCTGTTTACCGATGTCCCATGCCTCGTTCTCTATAGAAGTAGTCTTAAAACATTCTATTTTAATAAATTAAAATGTTGAATAACGATGAAGAAATCAGCAGGTGCTTGCATGAATGTTTTGAACTTCCAGAAAGGTTGAACTGCTGTATTCAACACAACATTGCTTTTCTTCTTGTAGCCTTCTTATTCAGTCTTCATAGCAATCTAACCTTGAAGCAACAAGGCCATTCATGTCCTGAAGAAAAGCATGTAAAGTTCTTGCTAAACTCAAGAAGTAATAAGTGCAGTGCTACTTCTGCCATGTAGAGAAACTGTCAAGAAAATGATAATCATCATTTTGTCAGCCCCAAAACTGGATTGCTTATCCACCCTTTTCTGCCTCTGTAAATTCTGTCATTTTTCATTTGACTCTTCTACTTTGCAATTGATATATTAGACTTTTTTCAATTATCTGTCTTCTATTTGTTTCTAAGCTCCTTGGTAGAAATAGTGGAGGAACCAGAGCTGAAGTATGGCCTGAAACAAGATAATAAATTATAATAATATATAATAAAAAGTTTTAACTGTCCCTCTAGCTGTCTCTGGATAGTCCATAAAGCTTTCCATTGCAAGCAATAGTATCTGCTGGAAGAAGGGAATAAAACAAAACTAGGCCATGGAAGAGTGAGAAGAGAGATGGGATTACATAGACCTAAGTAGCCTAATAAATTAAATGAGGTTTTGAATTTAGTTCATGGTATTTTGCCTACGAGCAATTTTAGCTGGAATTCATGTGAGGATGTTTGCATTGTTTTTTCCATTGCTTTTACCTCACGCCATGTGAATATTCTCACAGATTACATTTTAAATCTGAAAGAGTAAAATTAAGAAGCCATACTGTAAAATCAATGCTAGGGTCTGATTTAGTAGGTTATTTGCACATTTTGTACCCTTGGGTGAAACCTGGAAAGTATAACTTACCTGTAAGTTTCTAATGCCCAAATATCTGGCTAAGGCATGCTCTGGGATCTCATTTCATAGTGAAGTATTCCAGTACTGTTTTGAAATGTCACATCGACAGATAAATTCTAGTTAAAATGTGCCTCAGATACATGGTATGAACAGCTTAATAAAAGCTGCTTTGGTTTTGGTTGAGCAGTGCCTTCACTGGTTGCTCTGGCATGGAGCTGACACGACTCATGTGACTGTCAGAGGGTGGACAGCGGCTCACCTTGCGGCCATCCGAGGGCAGGATGCCTGCATGCAGGTATGTGTAAATATTCACTCTCAAGCAAAAGTATGTAGGGCAGACCTTAATTTTGGACAAAGTCATTATGCAGATCAGTTGAAGAAGCTCCTAAGGGAGCTATGAGTAGCTAGCTCATCTTGGTGTCTTGGCATCTGGGATGAAGTCACTCATTTTAAAACCACTGCACTCATTTGCACTGTCTGTAGAAACAGATTATTTTGTGCAGTGCCAGGACCTTGAGGTCAACCCAGAGTTATCCTGCTGATCATTGTAACCTGTTCATCTAGGCAGTGTTTGCTTTTTCAGCTTGTGAAGTGAACTTCTGCTTTGCATTTCTTTTAGGCTTTATTAATGAATGGAGCAAACACAGAAGCTCAGGATGACCGTGGGTGCACGCCGGCACACTTGGCTGCAGCCCACGGGCAGTCCTACACCTTGCAGACCATACTGAGAAGTGGAGCGGTGAGACACTTCTACCTGCAGTGCCCTAGTGCAGAGACAGGCTGGTAGCTTTTCCCAAACAAAACTGCCCCTAGCTTAAACTGAGATTTAAGACTGTACATTAATTACTGTTGGTGAATTTATTTATTTTTAGGGTAAATTTCTATTTTTTAAATTGTAATATACATTTAGGAAAATGTTTCAAAAATCTAGAGAGAATCAATAATGTAAGTAAATCACATTCCACTGAGGATGTCATTAAATATAGATCAGGTGCTGGGGTGGTGGTCATTTTTTGCAGTTGTACAAATCTTCTATAGTAAAGGAGACATAAACTTAAAAAAAAAAAAGAAAAAAATCCAGTTGCATATTTACAGAGTAATGACCACTACAGGTCATTATGATACTAAAATGTGTCTAAAAATGCACCCTTTATAAGTGTGTTAAGTAAAAGTGTGAAAAGTCTTGGAATGGGAACTGCATATATGGTATGAACTTTGAAAAATATTATTTGATTTAAATAATATAACACAATGAATAGCCGATTACTATATATAAAATTTCTCTTGTGTCTAAGATTCAGAAGTGAATGAATTAACCTGCTGCTTTCATTTTAGAATGTAAATGTTTCAGACAGGAATGACTGGAAACCTGTTCATTATGCTGCTTTTCATGGTCGTTTGGGGTGCTTGCAGCTTCTTGTTCGATGGGGAGCATGTATCGATGATGTGGATAACAATGGAAACCTTCCAGGTATATCAGGATAAATCATACATTTTTAAGCCTTTGGTTTGTAGCTGTTGTGTTTTGTGATAATTGAGCAAATTTCAAGTAATGCACAGCAGCAACATTTGCTATTTGATTCCATGCAGTTAGCATAGATAGTCCATTTTTCTCATGATGGGAGGATTTATTAAATCCAAAGTATAGTTCTGTTGTTAACAGTATCCCATTCACCTCTTGCTGCTGCTGGCAAGGATCAGAGCTCATGGGTGCTGGAGTAGGGAGCAGGATGAGCCTGATTGAGAGCACTGCATAGTGCAGCATCTCCTATGTGTGTGATGGAGCAGGTGTGCCAGTGGAGGTCACAGGAGATGGGTGGGTGCAGCAGGAGGCAGTTTCAGCTGCTAAGTGCTAGTTTTTGAATTTGTGCCAGGCTTTAACGGCTGTGCCACTGTGATCAGATTGTGTGTTCGTTCATCTTGATTTGTGGAATACTGATCTTTCTGTATTGTCTGTAGCATGTTCTCTTTTCATAATCATGAGCATATTCGTTTTGGCACAAAAAAGTGGGCAGTGTTTATTCCTTGCTCTTCATAGTTTCTCCAGTGTCCCTCTGCCTACCATGCCACTGCCTCAATATCCTCTGTAAGCTGAATGGTATTGTTCCTGTCTTGGGTTCTCATTGCATCCTTTCCCTTTTAGCATTTTCCTTCTTATGGTTTGTCATATTATTTGTTGCAAAGACCATATTTTTTTCCTCTATAACTTGTACGGAGTTCTCGTTTTAAATCCCTTCTTAAAATCCTTTACCCTCTATTAAGAGCTACTTACCTAGGAAATGGAGAGCTATGTTCTGTTTTGCAAACCTAGGTCTCCTTAGAAGATATGAGGCTCCTGCATCTCGGCAGGAGATCTGGTGCATTAGCAGGAAGGGGTCATGATGTTAGGCACCCTGGTGGCAGTGTAGAAGGCAGCTTTATTTGCATTTGGAAACACTTCTCCCATAACAGACTTCTGTGGAGATATAGCAGAGGCCAGCCCAGTTCTACTTCAATGCTCTGTATATACTGGTTAGTAGAGAATTGGTTATGTTGTATTTTGACATCCTACAGAAGCTTGATCTTCCAGCCTTTGTTCTGTTTCATTTGATCATATTGTCATCCAAAGGAAAGAAAAAGCTTTGGAACATGGCTCCTAAAAGATTAGTAGAACTGATACACTGTACAGACCAGCTTTGCCTCAGCTTGTGTAACAGCGAAGTGAACTTAGATTATCTTTGCACACTTCGGCTTCAAGATTAGCTGAACAGTGCTATAATTTTTCCTAAGAGAATACTGAAAGAAATTTTCTGAGGTTGCAGTGCTGGACATCTAAAACTTAAAAACTGGCCGCACTTTTTGCATGTGTGTGTTACAGCAGAGGGTCTTATTGCCTTTGCTAATTTGCATGCTAATTTTTTGGAAGAAAAAAAATCTTGTGGTTCATTCAATGTACAGAATGGGCTGTGATTATTAATTCAACATTTCATTTTCTCTCTGTATTAATTTTTGGGCCACATCCATATTTCTTTTATTGCTCACTAGTCAAACATATTATAAATATTTTTCGCACTCTTTTTTCACTTGTGGCTTTGAGAAGGGTGAGTAGCGTTAGACTGACTTAATGAAAGGCAAGATAAAACACAGAGAAGTTGTGATACCAACACCAACTAACCACTGCCTGTTTGTGATGCCTGAGACAAGGTTTTTCAAAGGGCTTGGCACTAAGCTGCATGTTTTGATGTTACTGTGTTAACATCACAGTACCCTTTGACTTTAGTCTCAACTGCAGGTGCTCAGCATGACTGAGGATGGGATGGCACAGTTACATGTTGGGTACTGGCTACTAAGACACACGCAGGTTAAGCCACCTATGAAAAGTTCCTTTATGTGTATTCCACAGCATTCCACTGAAACTGTGCAAAAAGACTTGAACAGAGCACAACTCTTTAATCTATTTTCCCCTTGCCATCTTTGCAGAAAACGTTGAACTTTTTTGATTGCTTTCTGCACAGGACAAACATCTGATAAAAAAGTTTAATTCCAAGAGGTGAAGTTTTATCCTGGAGATTTTAGGTATCTGAAAATGGATTCATAAGGGTTGAGTCAGTTTTTCAGTAGCTGACTATTAATCAGTACTTACCTTTAGCATGGTACCTCTTCTTTTCCCTTCTCCCTGAGTAACTCACTCACTGAATAAAATTCAGACAGTGGGAAAAATGGCTCTAATTTCAATTAAGCTCAGATTTTGAGCAATCATCTGTATCAAAGTATTGTCATCTTGCTGTAAAACCAATATCCATCACCTTTTAGAGCAATTACGCTCTGGGAAGCTGTGAATGGTTTGCTATAGAGAATTGTGTGTAACCCAAATGAAGTGACATGGTTTTTCTAGATCCTGGGTACATTGTTGATTGACTATGAAGATAGTGGGATTCTTACCTGGAGACAAACTAATCCTTTGGCCTCTAGAACATTAGCCAGCTTTTACAGAGCATTGTCATGGAGAACACATAATAAGCATTATTTGGCAAGTTCTTCCCATTAATGGGACTAGAGAATAATTACTCATTTCAAAATAATCAGCTTGTGTTTGGTACATCTTGCTTTCTTATAGGCCCAGCACTCTAGTAGTAATAAATAACTAAACCTCTTCATAGCCTGAAGGTCAGGTGAGGAATGTACCTTTGAATACTTTACCCAGCAAAGTGCTTGTCAGTGTCCTCCTTTTGTAGTTGGGGTGACTGAGGGTGTGATGCAACTTGTTTGTGGTGGCACAGTAGAGGTGGGCCTAAAGCAGAAATGGCCTTAACACCTCATCAAGGACACTGCTTGCTGTTGCTCCTTTTGGGTATCCCAGGACAGCGAGGTCAGACAGCTGCTGAAGACTGAGATTTGTGTTCATGGGGAAGATGAGACCCCAGCAGTGCACTCTCTTAACTAGTGCCCAGTGGTCTGTTGGGAGTGTTGTTTTGTTTCCTAGAGTCAGCTCTGCCAGGGAATCTCCTTTGCAGATCCTATCCTTGACACCTTTCTTCTACCTCCTTTGCATAGAGCTCATCTCTGTCCTGGATAGGAGCTGAACATGCCCTATTGAACTGAGGCTGCTCTTACTTGTTGTGCAGTGCTGGATGGCTCAAGCCCTGGTGGATGATCCAGATCTAACCAGTGGTGAGAGCACTGCTTTCTCCATGGACAGCAGGGCTCTGCTCTAATACACTTTGTTTCACCTTGTGCTGTAGCCCACCTGGCAGCAGTGGAAGGACACTTGCATTGCTTTAAGTTCTTGGTTGGGAAAATGGCCAGTGTCACACACACGCTGAAAGCCAGGAATGACCAAGGAGAGACTCCAAGGGACTTGGCTGAACAGTTCTTTAAAGATAATATTCTGCAATATATTGATGGTATGGAAAAAGAGGGGGAGCATCCAGAGGCACAGGAAGGTGAGTATGGATCAAGATACAGTTAAAATAGGCACTATAAATAATTCCATAGAAATGCTTGATTCTGAAAACTTGTGTGAGCAGACGTATAACATTTTAATTATCAGTATAAGGAAGAACTTCTTTTTAATGCTTACTACATTTACTGGTAGCTAAAGGCTGGGATATGCAGTATGATTTTACAGATGTCTTAGGTTTATCCGTGATCACGCTGTGTTGCACTATGAATACCAAGTTGCCCACGTTCTTTTTAGACTCCAGCAAAGATCCAGAAAAACTGTATAATTTTAATTAGTTTGCAGATCTGTCTGCACAAAATCTCTTACTTGCATTGAATAGCAACTTAGCCTGAAAATGTCCCACTGAAATGAAGGTTATTTGCTAACTATGGTAGTCAGAACAGCCAAAGGATGCAAATGTGGCAAGGTCTGTAAGGAGACCCCTCAGCAGAACATGGATATGACAACTGTACCTTCACCTCTCTACTTCTGGGAACTTACTGTCCTTATCTGCTAGTCTTTTTTCATTGTGCATAAAAGTATATTGTCTGTAGTCCCTGTCTATAAAAGATAACTAGAAAAATCAAATTGTCTGTATGAGTATGAGAAATAAAATAGTTTATATATTTGGAATTCAAACCAGGCAAATTACTCCAGTTACCACCAGTAGTACAATCTCAATCGTAAAATAAAGCTATACTTGTTACTTCAGGTCTATGAAATTAATTTCTTAACTGTGTGAGGTGCCTGTAGTCATAACCAAGACATGTTTAGTCAAGTCTGTGGTGAACGCTGCTAGTTACACAGCTGCATTTTGCCAATTAAGGTGCACTAGCCTCCTTAAATACAAAGCATCCATACATAAGTTGCTATGAGAGTGGCCAGCTGTGAGAGACAAATACCAACATGTTTAGTAGAATTACTGGCATCTGTTTGGAAACATGTGCATTTCATTTTCAGTTTTAGCTTTCCCAGCTCATGACGCTGCTTTCAAAGGGGACTTGTTAGTGCTTAGAAGATTAGTGAGAAGTGGAGTAATCAATATCAATGAGCGGGATGATAAGGGATACACTCTCATGCACAAAGGTCAGTAATTACGATCTGTGTTTCAGCTTGTTACTGTTTGTTGCTGACGTGTTTACTTTGTTTTTCAAGTGGCTGCTCATCAGATAAACTTCATGAAAAACAGCATCTCATTTGTGAGAGCTCAGAAGTGCAACCCCAAAAAAGATATCTGGTGATGTATTTGTGTGTAGGTGTCACTTAAAGACAAAATCACCAAGCTGTAGTCAAGGAAAAAGAGTTTATAATAGAGAGGTATCAACATCTAAAAGGAAAACTAAATATTGGGATTCTTTCTTTAGCCTTTCTTTTTTTTTTTTAATCAGGCAAAATGTGGGTTTTAGAAATGTCTGTCTGATCAGGTATAAGAATGGTCTGTATTGTGGCCTGGGCCTTTATTTACTGAACATAGCAGTACTGGGGGGATGTTTTGTAAAAATCACAACAAAATGGGGATGTTTTATAAAAATCACAACAAAGTCATTTGGTAGGGTGCTGTGAAGGAAGGTAAATTTCGGGTATCTAACACCCTGACATGTAGTGGAGTGCTAGCACTACAGAAAAAATAATCCTCTTGTGTTTGGGGTTTCATAGTAATGTCTGAAAGAGAAAAATGGGAGAGGAAACAAACAGGGAGGCATTTTTGTAATATGCTTTTACCCCTTTTTCCCACATTTGTTTTTGACTAGATACAATGATAGAATTTTAAAAAACATAATTGAAGTTCTCATTAAAAAAAGTTATGTAGTGATTTTAAAATGTTTTCTGCATTTTTTCCTACTTTCTTTTCTTGGAATGGTGCTAACCTACAATTGTTTCATCCCCAGACTTTACATCCTGATATTGTAATTTCATTTCCCTATCTCAGTAAGAAAACAAATATAACAAATATCCAAAAGGGAGTGCTATCAAGAAATGAATTTACTCTTCCTTGAGAAAAATAGTGTACAGTTTCAACTAGACTTGCCAAATATCATCTTCCATATGTAAGACATCGTTCCTGGCACCACCTGGTATGAGCAGTGGCCATGCCAGATCATATGACTGGCATGTGAGGCTGCTGCTGAGAAGTGTTGTCTTGAGTGTCTGCCCTAAGAAATGATGCACCTACAGCTCCAGCACAAAGCCCTACTTCTCTCCTCCATGAGACAGCTTTGCACACCACAGGCTGGGGCAACCAGCTGTGTCTGGTACATGGGAGCCTAAAGCCAGGGAGAGGTGACAGCACTTGGCTGCCGAACTAGGACACACAGGCAAGAGAGTGTGAGGCAGCAGTGATTTGTGTGTCTCATGCTCAACACATGGAACTGGGCAAGTTTAATTTAACTTGTGTCCAGGAAGAGCTGCCAGTACATTTCTGGAACTAGAAAGAGTCACCAAACCACGCTTCCCTGAAACTGTGTGTACCCATGTGATTTGAGCATCTTGACACATAGGCTTCTCTTGAAATAGTATCTCCCCTGTGGTGTCTTAGAGAACCCAACCTCTGGCATGTCAAAGAATGACAAGAGGAGGACGTTTTAGGTTTGAAACCCTACAGTTGTATATAACTTACTTGTGTGCACCTTCCTTCCTTTAGCTGCTGAACAGGGGCATATCCATTGCTTACAGTGGTTGATTGAAATGGGAGCTGACTGTGACATTACAAATGATGCTGGAGAGACTCCAAAGGATGTAGCCAAGAGGTAGCAGTACATATCCTGTAGCTCTGACATTTATTTACTTACTATTTGTATATCAATATCATGTCAGCTTTGTTGGAATTAATCCTGATTTTCAGTGATGGAGAAAGAACAGATCAGGCCCATGAATTCCAGCTCTGAGTGCTAAGCAAAGCTGTATTGTAGCTATGAAAGGTTTTACTTTTTCCTTATTTTATTTTAATTTTCTTTTCAGCAAGGTCAGACAAAAAAAGGAAAACCAGCTGATCTGAAAAAGGAGAGTTGTGAGCCAGTCTGGTCACAGTTTGTCGTACAAAGTAATTGAGAAGTAGTGGAGGCCAGCTGATTTTTGCATTAATAAAAATAATGCAGTTTCTGTTGAGATTCAATTAAGAAATCCTGCAAAGGAAAAAGATACCTCTGATGTAGGAGTCATTGCCATAAGATTCCATTGAGGCAGAGCTCACACTATAAGAATATTACAAAAAGCAGATAGATAGCTGCTCATAGTGTGTGTACCAGTGCTTCCTTTAATCCTGAAACCCCTCTGATAAATGGGAACATGGACAGTTTCAGAGAGTTTCTGTCACACGTGTTTTTCCGGATGATGGGCGTATTTCAGTGTTGGTTTAACTGTTCTCTGTGCAGATGTGCCCATCTGGCAGCTGTGGAACTTCTGATACCAAGAACTGGAGACAGTAACTCTAGTGATGAAGAACTAGATGCAAACAACATAAAGTTTTTTGAAAGACATGGTGTGGAAGGGAGTACAGATAGCAAAGAAGATTTAACCCTGGATAAAGCAGAGAAAAGGAATGCACGGAGTAAGCACTGTATTCCCATCATTCCTTGTTTGAAAAAGTTGATATAAAGACATTATAGTCATAGTTGCACAGTTCCTGCTAACTGCTGGGACCTTTCTGTTGTAAGATGTGATAGTTGACAGGATATCTGTACCACTGAGCATTCAAACAAATTGTGGAAAATTAGAAAGCGTAGCGGGGGGCAATCAGAACATAATTGTTACACCATTTTAATCCATGTTGGTGAAACTGTATTGGATTGCTACTTGTTTTTGAGATCTCTTTGCAGTGTGGGTGTCAGCTGTAGCTCAGTATTTGCTGAGCAGTGTGATTTCTGCTCTGTGTTTATGAGACTGTTTTTCAGACTATTGGATTCCATCATGACTGCCTTGTCCATGCATTTTACCTACCTGGAGAACTCTGTCTTACAGTAAGGGCCTATCACAAGATTCAAGAACTTCAGCAACTTCTAGAAATTGCCTACAGCAACTACAGACAGCTGGGAGGGATAACTGAAGAGGAGAGGAAGATGAAAAGAGAAGAAAGGAAAGCTGAGAAGTAAGGACATTTTGCCCTCCTAATGTTTAACTTCATGGAGCCCATTTTAAAGCCTTTTTTAAGGCTGACATACACTCAAATTTGCTTTGCCCAGTCTGTCTTTTCCAGTTGCCAACTTTAACCAGGTCAAAAAGAAATGGGCTGCAGCAATTCGTCTGACCGTTTCTAAACTTCTACCACCAGCTCAACAGAAGTGCTTGATAGGTCTACACTTCTTGGGCAAGATCATCTATTTGGCTTTCAGGTTTTCCTGCAGTGTATGTGCAGTAGGTCTGATAAGTCCTGGCTGTTTTGTTTCCACTGAGGATGCCAAAGATGTGTATGCACTTTAATAAACCTGAAAAAAGGCATTAGTCTTAGCATGGCTTGCATGGAAGTGCATATACAGCAGAGATTATTCAGTGACCTGCTACATTTCTGTGTCAAGGGTAATATATTTCTATGCTCAGGAAAGCATTAACTTGTATCCAGACCACAGAAAAAAACCCAAACTATAAGCAAACCTGCCCTTGCCCATGAAGAACTATTCATAATGTCTGTCTAATTCTCAGTGTCTCCTTTAAATCAAAGGGTTCTGTTAGACTGGTCAGGTGATTTGATGGACAGACTGTCTACATTTCAAAGAAAAGTCCTTCTGTCTATCAAAGATTTAGAGCCTAAAGAATAATGCAGCATCCAAAGACAGGCCTGTCTTCACCTCTACCTGTCAAAGATTTGGCTACCCACAGATCTCAGTCTCTGTAGATAACCACCTCCGTAATGTGTTTGGACCACCCCAAATCACTGTCTTTTTTTGGTTACTGAGAGGAGACTTGTCCAGAGGGCTTGTATGCCGTCACGAAGGCAGCAGACTTACCAGTCTGTGTAGATCTGGAGCATGTAATAGGTGTCACAAATTGCCATTAAGTAGTTTGTTTTACAGACATATCTGAGCCAAGAAACTGAGGACAGGATTTCTTTTGGTTCCAGGTCACCCTTTGACTCAGCCTAGGCTGAAAGTCCGTCTTTGTTAACTTGATATGTCTGCTATAGCTAACAGATACCTGCATCTGAGTTAGTGACCTTGAGCTCCTTTTTAGACTTCTTGGAGAGATGTAGGCACTTTCAGGGCATAATTAGACACGTATTTCAGGTATGATTCATCACTTCTAGGAGTGTCTCTCCTGGCTTCAAAGGAGGAGGGTGACTAGCTGAGGTGTTGATACCTATGTTAGAGAAATCTGTTTTTAATGATGGAAAAGTCACTGTTGACTAAAGGCATACATTAGTGTTCATTTTGGATAGAACAGTGCCTATTAGAGGGCTCTGATGGGGCTCTATAAGGGTCATTGCTTTCTGTGGCATGGATGGCTAAACTAGAAAAACTGTGAGGCTCTGAAGAGTCTTTCTCACCTGTGGAGGCTGGAAAGCATACCTAGCCCCAAACTATCCTTTTCAAATGGAAATAGTGCTTCTCAGCATACCTACCTACCCTTCTCAGGGTACCTATCTGTGGGTAAACACCAAGATGCTTCTAACATAGGCCAGAAAACCTATTACTTACAAATATTTAATGACAACACCATTTTGCTTGATTAAAAGCAGGAGTTGCTACTTGGGAAGGCCACTGTAACAGATTTTGAAGATTTCTGCTCTAGTCCATGTTTTCTGGCTGTAAGAGGCCTTGTGTGAACCACTGCACAGTGCTTTAACCAGGCTGCATTGCATGGAAAAAATTGCCACCATGTGTGTACCACAGAGTTTTGGAGCTGTGCCTCTTTAATTTGAAGTGTGCAAGAAGTTGGCTGTCCCCTGAACACTGAGCACAGGCCACTCTTGCAGTGTCTTTAAGGCTGGTTTGAGCCCATGAGTCAGGAGTTCTTCTCTCCAGGAAATGCCTTAGCTCTTGATGACAGCTTTTTTGCCATGCTGTTTGAATCCACAGGACAGATGTCTCCCTTTTCCTTTTACCGATCTTCCATCTTTGCTGATTCATCCTGATTTAGAAAAGAGCCGGCTCAATTCCAGATGACTCAGTTGCTGAGGTCAACTGCTGTTAGAATATATGTGAATCATGTCTCAGCTAAACAGTTTGCGGAATCTCAAGTAATTAGGAGCTGTTGTGGATGTGACCAGTGAGATCTTGTGCAATTGTGTGTGAACCAGTGCATCAGTTTCCCTTGAGTAGGGGTCAGGGGCAGCTTTTTCGTTTACATCTGGTGCTGCTACATCCTTCCTACTGGTTGGCTTAGGCACGAATGAGGAATACTCAAATAACAGCTTGCATGACCCTTCCAGAATCCCAGCCTTATGCTTTTTCTCTGTTTCATAATAACTTAGCTGCTCCTTGGGCACTTCTTCCTCTCCCACAGCTGGAGATGGACCCGGTCACAGGCTGCAGGAGCCCCAGGCTCGGTGTGTGGGTAGACGTCTCCATCTCGTGGTCAAATTGCGCTGAGCACAGCTGGCAGCGGAGATGGAAAAGCTGCTGTTTATACAGTTGTTACAAAGGGTCTGGAGCCAGGAGCACAGCTGGTGTGAAGAGTACTGCACTGCTTTCTTCGTGACTAACCTGCTCCCTGGCAAAGGCACAGTACCACGTGGAGCGGCCAGGGCAGGTTTGGATGTAGTTCATGCTCTGCTTGTCTCCTTTGCTTTTGACAGGGCTGTGAGGGAGCTGGAGGCCCAGCTGGAGTATGAGCGAGTCAGGCGGGAGAAGCTGGAGAGCCAGCTGGATGACTACCGTGCTGAGATAAGCCACCTTAGGGAGAGCCTGGAGAAAACCTGCATCCCCCCTGCTGTCCCCATGGTGAGTGCCACACTCCCCCAGTGCGTGGGACAGAAGCTACTGCCTGTAGCTTGTGCATGTTGTTCCTTCTAAGATTCCTAGGCATGGTGCTAGGAAATACTAGAGAAAAATGTGCTAGCAGCTTTTAGCTTAGGACATGGAAGTGAGCAGGAGCCTTTGTCTGTTCTAACAGTATCTCTGCTTCTCAGTTTCTCTTTGTACCCTGGCAGAGAAGCACCAATAATATTCTGCATAATAGTAAAAGGAGTGTACTGATCCCTGAGTACTTCTACATGCATATACAGTGACTGGCAGTTCCTCTTGGCTGGTACCTGGTACCTGCGACTGGCCTGCTGCCTCAGGAGAGGTGTCATCACCTAAAGGGTGAGCCTGTGAGTTGAGAGATCATAACCATGGGTCCCCAAAGGGGGACAAAGAAAATAACAGTCTCACTTCAAAGATGATCTATGTCACAGAGTCTGGAATCAGCCAGGCATCCTGAGTGAGAGTCCAGGATCTCATAGAAAGTTTGTGCAGAGAATTCAGTCTGTTTAGGAAAGGAAAAGTACATGTGGCACGGGAAGTTCTCAGACAGAGAGGCTCCATTTTGAATTGAATATTAAGGCCTTTTTATATCATAGAGGCGTAAGAGGGAAGAGGACACCACCACTGTAAGCCACCAATAGATGCTGATGTTTCCATTTCTAATTTTTTACTTTTCACCTACATAGCTTGTATAGCCAGTAGATGATGAGTTTTCTATTATTTCAGACCATTTTTTATTTCCCAGAGTATTTTCCACCTTTTCAGTCAATTGCTCCTACAGTCTCTTGTTTTTGCACTTCTTGGTGGTATCTTGGTATGGCTCTGAATTCTAGGTACCGCAGCTGTACTTCAAAGAGGCCAGCTGCACTTTTCAAGGATGCTTCTGGTTCTCAGCCTCACAATTCCCTAGCTGGCAGATATTTTCTTTGTCAGCATTTTTCAGCTGGTGTTTTTTTTCCTGGTAATTTTCCCCTTCTAACCAGGTCAGCTTTTTGGCTGCTCGCATTAGGTGTCAACCTGCTGTGTCAGCTCCCACCCCCTGGCTGGCGGGTTTTGTAGCAATTGCAGCTTATACTTTAGGATATTTCTTTTGCTTCAAAACTCCTTCAAAACAGGTTTGCTTTTCTCTCTTTTACACCAGACTGGGAAGTGAGTTGATGGAGGACTTTATTGTCCTCCTGTAGTACAGGACTTTATTGATGTGTGCAGTGGCTGATTGCAGAGAGTGTTCTTGTATGCCATCTGCTATCATCCCAATTATCCAGCCCTCTCACAGCAAAGAATATACACACAGATATGAATTATTGGTTGGCTTAGCAGGCAAAGGCAGAAAAACTGTAGCTTTTCAAAAAATGAAATCTTGAGGATAGATCAGAAGTTCACATGCTCATTTTTGGGGACAGGTGAGCTGGCATTTCAGACCTTTTGCTGCCCAATATAACTCTCGAAAATTGATTTGACAATCAAAATCCTGTTTGTCAGGTTTTTGTCATCCAGTCAAGTTGTCAGCCTTGGATGAAGCACCTATATTCCTTACCCTATGGGTGTGGGGACTGGTGTGCAGTAACACTGTTGGTTCTTAGGAAAAGATGCCAGTGGAAAAGGCACGTGGCAGGGCTGTTCTTGGAGCTCCACTTAACTTCCCTGGCCATTGCACTGCCTTGTCTATGTAACTGTTTGTATGGCTCTGTTATATCCAGGATAAAAGTCAGGCAACGACTCGTCACTGGCAACATGGGCAACTCAGATTTTAAGTCCTTCGTCTGACTAGAGGAGTCAAGAATACCCACTCTGGAGGAATGTTCTAAGCAGCCCAACATCTGCTCTTGTGAGATGGAGCCATATCCATTCCCCTGTGGGCAGCTGTGCAGTGTAACCACTGTATTTCAATATTCACTGGTCCAGAGGGAGTGAGTCATAGAAAATAGCTTTTTAAGCAGATTATTAGGGTTCATGAAAAAGCACAGGAATTTTCATCCCAAGAATTTTAGTCCTTCTGTTGTCATCATCTGACCCCAGGCTAATAACAGCTTGCTTTAAGACATGATTCATTATACTTCCCTGGCAGGTTTAAAAATATAGAATAACTATGGCACAGAGTGCCCCATTCCTAGGGTGGAAGTGTGGCTGTAGTTGTTTTTATCCACAACAGTCTGAAAAAGTCTAGCTGAGCTTTGGATTTACTGGCTGGGACTGGAGACAACTACCAAGGCAGGTTTATTTTCAAGAACTGCTCTGAGTGACTGCTACAGCCAAGGGGCCTTCCACTTACACTGCTGTGCTGCCATCCCATGCCCTGGGACTATGCTCTGCCCCCAGCTTCAGTTTGAACACAGTGTTCTGTCCTTACTCACAGTCATAGATTTTAAACCCTTCCAGTGATTGCTGTTTAATGGCTGAATATCCTTTGTTTCAGGAAGCTGAGACAATTGCCAAGTCTTGCAAAGACAAAAAGAAAATAAAGAAGCAGCCAGCCTGCAGCCCAGGAGGAGTGTTTGTGAGGCTACGCTGAGGAACGCTGAGGAACGACCCTCCAAGGAGGGGCAGGAGACTGCAAAGGTAGAAAGGCAATATTCCACACAATGCAAAGTTTGCATGGCCCAGCTGCACAAATGAGTTGTGGTTCTCTGCCTTTCACTGAACTATGGTTTTAGTTCTCTAGTTCTCTGGTGCAGCAGCAGCAGCAAATGTAGTTTAGCAACAGCTTTGCAATTGACATTTCAACAGTTAACAGCAGCAATGTCATAGGCCCTCATAATTCGGAGAGAAGTACCTCTGTCTCCTGGTCTGTTCTGTACTGTGACCTTAGAAAGGAAAAAGTGCACATCACCTCCTGGAATATTCAGATGGGACCTTCAGTGTGGAAGCAGAATACAGTCTCTGGGAGAATTACCTCTCAGCTGCAGACAGGTGCCAGGCACCTTGATTTTCATCTTCAAGTCATTCTTAAAGGAGCCAGGAAGTGACTCCTTTGTGAGGTGCCAGATGAACTGCAGCAGCAGGCCTCTAGCTCAGGGCTGAAGAGTTTACTAGGTTATGGGGCACGTTGTGGTTAGAAATGGCAACCCTGACCTCTCCTCTATATCTAGAAAACATTTAATTACTACACCTATAAAATTTTTTCTCTCATCTGTGTGCTGTTGTGAAGTTATTTTCCCTTTGGAAGCCTCATTTTGAGATTATTTTTTTTAGTGCTCAAGTCCTGATATGTCCTCTCCTTAAGTACCAAAGAAAACAATCTCTGAGAATTTCAGAGGTACTGGAAAATAAAAATCAGTGTTTTTCTGTGCACACTGAAGGAGAGGCACACTGACTAACAGCATAAGCCTTGTATCAGAGCTAAAGAGTAGAAATTCAGTCTCAAGAGCTCACTTCAGGGTGTGTGAGATGATGATGGTGAGAAGCTGCAATAGATGAGCTCTTTCCTACCTCACCACTGGTGCTAAATGTTAATGTAGGAACACTCAGATAGTCAGACGGCAAATATAAGAAATTAATTTTATTTTCTTGAATGAAGATAATAAATAATTTAATGCATAGAATATAAGAATTAGCAGAATACCAGCAAGTTCAACTGTAAACAGAATAAAACCTCAATAAAAAAAATTGCCACTACTCACTACCACATAGTCCTTAGCCCATAAAGGGCCCATTCTTATTTCGAAGTTAATCCAGAAGGACTTTAAAAACTATTATTTTACTACAAGAATCAAACCAAGCATATGCATTTGTACTTGAGATGTGACTGCTTCAGTTTTGAAGGCATCCACCTGCTATGTTGCATCTCTACAACAAAAGTTTCCAAGTCCTTGCAGAAGGCAGATGGGTTAGGAAAGTCAGTGTGTCAGGATTACAGAACAATCCTGAGGAGTGTGGAGATGGGAGGAGGATCACCACCACCACTACCACCACCACCACACCGGCACCACTGAGATGCTGAGTATTTCCATGTTAGTGTGCCCAGAAAATATGTCTGGGTTCATTAGAAATACTCTGCACTACCTGAAAGGGAGAAATTAAGAGTACTTATCTGCCCCAGGGCTGTACATGGTTGCTCAGAGTAGTGGCATTTCCCCTTGGAAAGACAAAGACAGAGAAGTTCCCCCATTCTACCGACTTCTGGGGTTACGGACATTGCAAGAGATACTAAAGAAAATAAATCTATGGAGACATTTTAGTTGTACATAAGATTTTAACTTTATGTAAACTAGTTTTCAAGAAAAAGGGGTTCTTCAATAAAGGCCTTGGAGTGCGTTTTTATGTATGTAGATAAAAACCCCAAAGGGCCAGGCTTCAATCCATCAGAAAAGAGAGGAACAGACTGAAGACAAAAATCCAGAAGCTATGTTTAAGATTAATATACTTGGATCAGAGTAGATGTATTGTAATCTGGTATTAGTATCCCCATACTGGGAACACTAATTTAAGAATTGTATTTGCATTTCAAGGTCCTATAAAATGTTTAATATTTCCATTTTAAGAGGAGCTGAGAGTGAGAAAGTTGGAAAACCAAATTTAATTATAAAAAATATCAGGAAACACTTAGTGGTATAGAATAAGAAATACTTTGAAATTAATACATTACTGAACAAGAGACAACAAAATTACTATTTGGCTACTTCCCCCCAATTATTTTGATCTTTAGTGTTACATATTCAGAAAACATTTTTCTTATACAGTAAGAATATCAAATCAAAAAGGTACCAAGGTTATCCACAGTGCAAACATGATCATCGAACTACTGTTGGCCTGGGTGGCCTTTTCTCTGTCTGTATTAGATGCAGTCATTCCATTCAGATCTACTTCCAGAACCTGTAAAATCCCAGTGCTATTGCCAGGCAAGTGAACACTGAAGCTGTTAAAAAAAAACAAACCCAAAGAAAGGAAATAATTAGCTGAATGCTGAAGTGTATCACTTTATACATACAGGAAATTAGTTGCAAACAGATGGAAGAAAATGGTAGCAACACTAGAGCAGAGCCTCTTAAACTCCATGAATTGCTGCAGGTGTGACAGAGCAATTTGAGAAGACAGTGGCTTGCCTTAGATGTCATACCCTGCACAGCAGCACTGTGGTGGTGAGATGGGGGCTGAATTCAGCAGCCTAAGGAAGCATGTTTTCAGGGACACATCCGAACAGCTATACTGGATACTTGGTGCACCACAGGCTACAGGAACTTTTACTACTGGAAGCTGTATTACAGGAGATGCTGTATCAGGTCTTGCATTAGATGTGGTTATAATGATTTGCCACTGAACCAAACGACAGTGAACTGACGATACAGGTATCTGACACAACACCAGGATATCCTGGCAGCACCCCTGACAAGCTGTCTTTTGGATTTGTTATGCTGCTGTTTCAATTAGTGTTAGAATAAAGCTAATTACATTTCCCTTTGAATTTATTCTTGCTTCCAAATATACTGCATTACTCTCTTTTTATCCAGCTCCAACACAATAAAAACTTCACTGGTTTTATGTATATATTGAGAAGACAATCTCAAATCAGACTGAGATTTGTTCTGCTTGGCAGGGGAAAGTACAAGTGCTGTCACACTGAGCTGTATGTCTGTGGAGACTGAATGGGAAGCAGAACTGGTCACTCTCAGAGCAGTCCCGAATGACAGCAAACTTTCAGGGTAACCCAAATGACCTCAGGAGAACTTCTGTAGCAACTCTGCCATGTCAGTGGCTGCTGCAGCAAGCTGAGGTACTGTCAGATGGATAAGGTATTTAAGCCTTTTTTTTTTTTATTTTTTTTTAGATCATGTCCGTATTCCTCCTAATCCCAGTTCTGGGCACAATCCTAGTCCTAGTGTGGCATGCTCCCACCTCTTCTGTGTTCTGTGTCACACTTTATCCAGCTGGGGGGAAATCTCCCCCTGCAATCCCAGCTGTCTGCTCCTACTGCTGACTTCTTTCAGCATATACTCCTGAATAAAATGTTTTACATCCAAGATACAGTGCCGGCACTCACCTCCTTGCCTATCACGTACCTGCCAGATAACGTATCGTATCAAGTTTATTCGATTCCATGAGTGTTTTTAAGGAAGCTATTTCAGTGTCAATTTTATTACTGATTTCTGAGATAACGCTATTGGTACTTGAATCCTGAAACATTAAAAGATAGCATATAATGACAATGGTGTTTAACCCTTTCAGCTTTGCAAAGCTGCACTAAAATACTATGCTACTAGAAACAAGAAATTAATTTCCAGCCTATCACTGAAGTAAAACATTACTAACTACTAAGAGACCTTAGAAGACTCAGAAAACCATTTAATACAATCCAGGAAGAATACTGAAGTGACAGAAAGCAAGAAAACTCTGATGATCGCAGAATCACAGAATGATTTGGGTTGGAAGGGGCCTTAAAGACCATCTAGTTCCAACTCCCCTGCCATGGGCAGGGACACTTTCCACTGGACCAAGGTTGCTCAGAGCCCCATCCAGCCTGGCCTTGAATGCCTCCAGGGATGGGGCATCCACAACCTCTCTGGGCAACCTCTGCCAGTGCCTCACCACCCTCATGATACAGACTTTTGTCTGATATGCCAGTGCATCCTAAAGGAGACATTCTACAGCACACAGAACATTATTCCTACATTTCTGAAAAACAAAGGTTTAAGCATTCACAAGCCATATCCCAAAAAGGAAGGAGATGCTGAAGATGGGACAAGTCCCTCTTCAGCCTCTTAGACTTTGGTGCCATCTAGCAGCTTTTGAGGACTTCCAGCCCTTGAAATGCTTGGCTGCAGGCACCTGGACCATCCCTCTTGTACAGCTCATCAGTTAACACTGGGAAGGGCAGCATGACAGCACACATCCCACTTGTAACAGCCAGCAACAAGGGACTTGGGAAGCAAGGGAAAAGGCTTGCATGCCTCCCTCTGCTGACTGGTGTTCATCTCTAAGGCAAAAAACATCTGCAACAGCCGTGAGTGATACAGTCCAGCCCCTTCTTTAACCACATCCAAAAATCTATTAACTTCCACGAAAGTTTGTACATAAAATGCAATGTGTAACTGTATCCTGCTGACTATAAATCAGCTTTACTCAGTACTTACTTTTTTATGAAACTCTGTAGTTGCTTCCATCAGTTTCCTCTCCTGATCTGTAAACTGTGGATGAAAGGTAAATTATAACTGTAGTAACAGAAACATGACACAGAACTGATAAGGGCATCTTCACAGACCAGCTTACCATATCTGTCACCCTGCTCCTCTCCAGGTTTATGTCTAGCTTGCTGTCAGCTCGGATTTTACCAGTTTCATTCTTTAAAAAAATAAAGAGTATGAAAATAACTATTTACTTTCCCTAATAGGGGCATGTAGGTACTTGCTATTTACTTACCATTAGCTGCTGTTTAACTTGATCTAATTCAATTTTCATTTTCTAAGTGCAGAGGAGAGAAAAAAAGAAAGATTTTACAAATTCAGGAAGCTGCTAACCAAATTAATCAGTCGTGTAAGTGTTACCACTGCATGCATGCAATTATTCTTCCCTAATTTTTCTCCCAATGGGGCAATTTTTTCTTGATTAAATATCCTCAATAAGGTGTTCAATTGTACAGCCACATATCATCTGCTGGCAATTTTCCTCAAAATAAAGAGATCATTTTCTAAAAATGATGATCTTGTTATTCAGAGACTAAAGACAGCAGAAAAATACGAACATGCCATCAAGTAAAAGCAAAACGTATCTCAATTACCAGCTTAATTAAATTGTTGCAAAGAAACGGCTGACTCCTCTCCCTGCAGTATATGTTTCATGGCCACAAACTACCAGAATTACCTTTAAATAAAATTACAGAAGATGATTGTAAGATCTGTCGAATTTTTTCTTTACAGAAAACCTGAGCAAGTCTTATGTGAAATATATTTTTATGTGATCTCAGAAGTTGTAATCTATAAACTTTTCAACTCTGATGGAAGTACCTAGAATTATTTTTACATTCATACTTTGTTCCACAAAAATGTACAACATGCAAGCCCCAATGTATATTGGAATTAAACTGCTGAATGAAAAATATATATTAGTACCTCATTCTCGGCTCTCAAGTTTGCAAATTCACTTTTCTCCAGGATGACCATATCTTTTCGAATGGAGTCCAAATGTGCCATTATCTGCTGTAAAGTTATTTCCTTTGGAACAATAAAATATGCCACTGATTATGTTGCACACTTTCTGGCAAGTAAAGGAAAGATTTTTAGGTCTGAAATTATGAAATTAGTTACTCCAAAGCACAAAAGTGGGGAGTCTCTCCAACAAGGAAGCGACAGAAACAGAATTTTATAGTTGCAATTTGTTTGGAAGACTCAAGAGGTTTACATTTTGTTCTCTTTCTGTTGCTTTAATGCACCAACTTTGAATTTAAGAAAAAAGGCCCGAAGTATTAGTCCAAGTAGTTATGAAATGAAATATACCTGAAACTACAAGTTAGTCCTTCAGTCTCTTCCATTTTCAGTGAATGTTCAGTAGCCTCAGAAATATTAATTTTTGGTTTTAATGCTGTTCCTAAGAAGCACTTCAACTGCTTGCCCACAAACTGATCAAAAGCCCAGGTCTTACTGATACAAGTATCACACCATCCTCTCAGCAGTAAAGTCAGACACAGGTAAAAACACTGCTAAAAAAGCACTGAAAAAAGTCTTTGTGAGGTTTGACCTAACAAGTTCAGAAATCAACTGCTATTTATAAACTATAGAGGAAAAAAACCTCCAGAAAATAAAGGAAGAAATGCAGTACTTTAGAATCTTGAAAGCAATAATACTCCTTCAGTCACCATAAGGAAGTTACCCTATTATTTATGGAAATGTCATAATGACAATGACATATCACTGTGGGATTCGTCTTTTAAAGCTGAGAGCCAGCAAAATAAAAAGCTCTCACTCAGACTACAAGCCAACAGTATTTCTCATAGCTTACATAGAACTAAATTCATTAAAATATGCCCTGACCAAACTTCCACTGAAGTCTGACTACTTCATTGAACACAATGAAATTGTTCCAACTCCTGGGAAAACTTCAGCAGCATGGTTGGCCACAGCCACTGGAGTGTGGTTTGGTTTTGACCTGTGGCAGCTCTGCCTCCCTGACCTAGGCACAGTTTACAGGGCCAGGACTGTCCCACCAGATGGGGGGGACAGAGCCACCTTGATTTAGGAGGCAGAGGTTTTAGCCACCTGGATGTAGTCTGTGCTGTGTCACGTGCCCTTGGGGACAGCGGGTGGGCTCTGCGTGACTCAGCTGTTGGTATAAACCTGTGCTGGCCTGTTTTATTTGTGCTGGCCAGGTCAGCACCTTGGTCTGCATTCCAGCAAAGCACTGGGGTGTTTCCTTCACTGAGGTATTCAAGTCCATGTCTGTGGACATACCTGGAGGCAGCAGGTCAGTTAAGTAGCATGGCTGGCTTTCCTGCTGACAGTAGAGGTGGTGAAGTTTTGCTTTAGCAAACTGACAAAATAAAAAGAACTTAGTTTTTCTTGTAGGGTAGACATCTGTGTGGGATAACAAAGCTCTGATGCACAGTGATGGCGTTAATATTTACTCGGGAAGGCTGTGCAAGCTGAAATCATGTGCCATTCTTCTTCAATTACTTAATGCAATTAGGCATTCACTGCTATTTTATTTAAACTGCTGAGCCTTTCTTCCAACAGATTTTTATCTTACTGGCATTTATTTCTAATAAAAGTTGTTTAAATTTTTTTCTTCCTCTAAATCTCAGAAGACAAGAATTTCTCTTTATTTTTTTTTCCTTCAAAATGGAAACCTTTCTTTTTGGAAATCCTATTATATGAAAAGAAAGTCAGTAACCCAGATATAATTTGCATGGAATTGTGTCAGGCAGAAACACTGATTTTAACAGTGTAGTCAGTGTTGAGACTGAATACTTCAAGATGGGATGAGGCTCCTCGGTGTAAATGCAACTGAAGTTTTCCCAGGAATTGTAAAACCAACATTGTGTTCAACAAAGCAGCCAGACTTCAGCAGAAGCTAGGTCAGGGCATTTAACTATCATTTAAAATCCCAAGTGAAAATTAGGAAAACCTGGCACAGTGAGGTCTTTATAGTACTAACAAGAGCTGCTCACTTGTGCTTTAAAGATGCAAGTATGAGCCATTACAGCTCCACACCACAGATTGGTTTTCACCTGCTGAGCCTGCGTGACCATGTCCTTATAGACAGTGTCCAAGCTAACGTTTGACAGGGTTATTAGTGCCGACACGATGGTCTCCGCCTGCTCCTTCCCAAAGCCTAGAGGACAACAGAAGTGTGACAAGTTAAGGTGCTATCAAAAATCTGGATGAAGAGCAAGAGCTACACGACAACCTGGGACACTCAAATGCCATACCTAACTACAGTGGCACATGGGAATTCACACAGTTCCTGAAAACTGACAGCCAGGAGCCGGTCCCTGTGACTTTTAACTAGAAAAAACACAGACTGCAAAAATCTGAAGCATGTTAACTTTTAATATACTAAAAGTCTATAGATGCAGCTGACAGAAAGATCAAATATCTGTTAAAGGTTTAACTGTTCATGCATTGTAAAAATAATTCAGCAAAACTTTACTTCATAATGAACTGCCACAGATTCTGTTAAAGCCAAATTTACCTTGAGCTACAAAGCATGCATCCTACAGAGTAATAACAGGTAATTCTGCATGTATTGGAATTGTTCTGCACAGATATGAAGACAAGCAAAACTGATTTTAAAACTGCTGCATCCATCACTTGTACAATGAACTCAAACCGGGACTTTTGCTTTCTGATGATAAAAATTACACTTTGTCCATAGCTTGGTGCAATTTTGAAGTACTGTATGATGTGAACAGTAAAAAAAGAATAAATAAAAAAATTGCTCTCATCTGGTCAAGTGCTGAGAGCTTTTGCCCTGAAGATTTATTTCCAGCAATCTCACTGATGTGTTTCAACTGGCCCATTTTAAAAAATGGGTTCAATTAACATTTTGTTGAAAAAGACTTTCAAGGCAAATTATTTAGAGAACTATACCACTGCTCCCTTCTAAAACACTGGTACTGTCAAGCTGCACCATTGGTTTACATGACTAAAGAAGCTATGCATGCTTTATGACAGCTTCCTTCCACTAAGAGGCGTGATAGTATTGCTTCAGTTCCTCTGAATCTTCAGGGTTACTTAGGCTTTTGCCAATTCCTTATTTCACTCTTCCTCTATAGCAGGAACTGTTCGTGTTGCATGGATGTTTAGAAAATGTGGAAAAATTCCTATAAGCAAGAGAATGGAGCCTGAAAACTGTCTGCAGCAACCTTGGGAAAAACTAAAATGCTTTCTTGCTTTTGTGGTGTGTACGGGTTTCACCTATAGAGCTCTGCCACTGTGGTACTAAAATATTTGTAAAGTTATGGAACAAATTAAACTGAGTAACAACCAGCACCAGATAGACCTCACCCCACAAGTCCCATAGGAACGTGATGAAGAAGTAGCTGAAACAGTCCTGGGAGGAGGATATTTCCTAGCCTACCTTGGTTACCCATGGACTGGGAAATAACAATGCCAGTTTTTAAAAGCAGTTCTAGGGAGATGTAGGGAACTGCAGGCTGTCAAGTCTGACAGGCATGAAAAAAATAAACAGTGGACTATTATTAGTCTTTTAACTATTAACGCATATTATTATTAGACCCAAATAATGGAAAAAAATCCCAACCTCCAATTGTATGAAGTTCCAACCTCCAATTGTATTAAGTTGCTACTGTCACTTAGGATTTTAAAAGATGGTTGCTAGTCTGATGAAGACACCAGCTCAAGGCTTAGTAAGGACCAATAAAGCAAACCAAACTCTTATGAATTACTAAGAAAAGGAACAGAGAATAAAACAGATGCAACTTTACATCACTGTTCAAATCTACAGGACATTCAATTGTCAAGTAATGCCAGCAGCTCCGTTCCCTCCCCTGTGAAATGAAATGTGATAGAAGTCAAAATTATTAATGTTAAGGACATTGAGAATGATCAAAAATATGGAAAAGCTATTGCTCAAGGAAAAATGCAATAAGCTAGGATTCTTCTGTTTGAAAAAGAACGATGGGGGAATATGACAGAAGTTTGCATAATCATGAGTGACATGGAAAATCAAATGTTCACTTCCTTTTCCCACAAAAGAGCTGAGTGGGCAGCAAATTCACCTCACAGAAGCCAGATTCTGCATAAACAAAAGGAGTGGATGCCTGAAATTCCATGAGAAAGAATGTTTTGGGTACTAATCAGTTTACAGTGGCTCAGGGACTGAATAAGCTTGTGAGAAGACTTCCAGCAAAGGTTACTAAAACTCACACCTGACCCAAATTCCAGGGTGACAGCAACTGGAGGCTTAGAAAGTAAAAGGGGATGTGTCACAGATATCTACCCTGTTTTAACACTTCTCTGCAGGCACTGACTCTCAGCTGCTGTCAGGAGAGAGAACCCAGGGCTAGACAGACCTTTCACCTAACTTCAGCCAGTCACACTCACCACATGAAAGCGCAGGCATTAAGAATGTATCACAGCACTATGCTGCTGAGAATATTTCTAGTTAGAAAAAAACCCTTAAATTACTATTAGCAGGCACATAGCAGGAACTGCTATTAAAGCTTCCTTTTTGCTCTAAAACAGTCTTTAACTGTTATTTACTTTACATTTGTTAACTGAATTATGTTCCTCAGCTGGAAGACACCATATAAACTTGCCTAACGAGGCAAATGTAATGAGGTGAATGTAATGTATCAGATCCTCAGGTGAGCTTCTCCTTCACCAGTCTCCTAGACAGGCTGCCAAATATTTTATACCACTGAGTACCGGTACTCTGGGGAAACTGATAGCACTCAAAGTTACAGTATTTAAAACTAAAAGTTTTCCTTTGAATTACTAATCAGATATCACTTACCATGGCTTTCCAGATCCTGCACTAAAGCATGGGTATCAAAAGTTACCTTCCTCTGCTCCAGGGGAGTGATATCAACTCTTCTGACATCATACGACTTCCTAATGAACGTGGCAGCAAAACCTGGAAGTAACAAAACATGTCTAAAACTTAACTTGATTGGTTTATCATGCAATACACTAATTTTAACTTATTTCATCATGGAAAAGCTGCATGGATGTTGCAACAAAAGGCTGGGTTACAGCACACACCAGAAACCATCAGTCCCTTTTCCACAGGAAATCTATACCAACTAGGACTCGTATATCAATGATAAGTGTGTCCGTGTAACTGTGCAATGGACAAGCATCCTGAGACAACAGAAATGAACCCACCACAGCCAACTGTTTTACAATATTTGGGAAACATCCCTTAAATAATTTTCTTATTTTTAAAACATTCAGTAAGTTAATGCAATTAGGCATTCATTGCTATTTTATTTAAACTGCTGAGCCTTAATTTCAACAGATTTTTATTTTATCATGGAATGGCTTGGGTTGGAAGGGGCCTTAAAGACCATCTAATTCCAACCCCCTGCCATGGGCAGAGACACCTTCCACTAGACCAGGTTGCTCAGAGCCCCATCCAACCTGGCCTTGAACACTTCCAGGGATGGGGCATCCACAACTTTCTCTAGGCAACCTGTGCCAGCGTCTCACCACCCTCACAGCAAAGAATTTCTTCCTAATATCCAATCTAAATCTCTCATTTTCAAAGAATTCCTCAATCGCTTTCTTTTTACATTTTCTTCTATCACTATCCTTTCCAGCGAGGATGTGAAGATAAAGCTACAGATTTTTTTATTTTTTAGAAATCTCTGCAGGTGTAACTTTCAGAATGGGTCTATTGGTTCATCAGGAAAGTAACTAGGCAACAAAGCTATATGATCCCTGCACCTAATATCTTACAAATGGATATTAAAGATCCTCTCTATTTATTATGTGAGTGCCTTCCCAGAAAATGTTTCACCACTTCTATTTCTATTTCAAGCATATCTTTCTCTGCACCTTATCTTTGTGGGGTTTGAATATTACAGATTGTATTCTAATAGATTCTTTGTTCTCTAAGCAGCCCTTTTACTTCTAAATCCATGCTTATTCGAACCTTACACACTGCTCGCTGCCTGCCTTGAACAAAACTTTGTTCTGAACCTTATCTACTGAAAAGCTTTATACCACTTAAACAACAGGGAAGTTACATTGTGCCACTACCAGATAAATCAAGTCATGCGCTACCTTACGTGCGCTCTAAAGAACTGGCTCTAACTAAACCAGCCACAGCACCCGAATTAATGTCTGTATTTAGAGTTAAGATGCACTGAATACTACAAATAATGAAAAACAATTCCAAGCATTCTTTTTCACAGAGCGCGGGGGCTGCCCCCGTGCGTGGGGGCTGCCAGCGGGCCGAGCACGGCGCTGCGGCGCCTCTCACCTCTGCGAGGAGCTGGGGGCAGCCGTGCTGGGATCGGGATCGGGACGGGGACGTGGAGCAGGCCGGCCAAGGCGCGGATCGCGGCACCATTCCCGCCACCCCTCATGGCGCCCCCACCCACCGCTTCCGCCGCCACTTCCGGCCAGGCCGCGGGGCATGCTGGGCACTGTAGTCCACAGCCGCGCGGCAGCGCCCCCACGCGGGCGGGAGGAGCGGCGCCGCCGTGTCCGCCCTCAGGTGGCGTCACCGCGCGGGCATGTTGGGTGCGCGGGGGGGTGACCTTAAAGATCATCTGGTTCCACCTCCTTTTGCCATGGGAAGGGACATCTTCCAATAGACCAAGTTGCTGAAAGCCCCATCCAACCTGGCCTTGAGCAATTCCAGGGATGGGGCATGCACAGCTTCTCTGGGCAACCTGTGTCAGTGCCTTACCACACTCACAATGAAGAATTTCTTCCTAATATCTCATCTAAACCTACCTTCTTTCAGTTTAGAACCATTGCCTTTTGTATTGTCACTATATGCTGGTATAAAATGTCCTTCTCCTTCCTTTTTATAGGCGACCTTAAGGTGCTGTAGGGCTGCAGTGAGGTTCCCCCTACCCCTTCTCCAGGTGGAATGCCCCCAACTCTCCCAGTTTGTCTCCATAGCAGAGATGCTCCAGTCCTCTCACCATCTTTGTGCCCTCCTCTTGACTTGCTCCAGCAGGTCCATGTGTTTCCAAGGCCCCCAAAGCTGGATGCAGCACTCCAGGTGAGAGCAGCGTAGAGGGGCAGAATCCCCTCCCTTGACCTGCTGCCCATGCTGCTCTTGTTGCAGCCCAGTTGGCTGCCTGGGCTGAGCGCATGTTGCTGGGTCATGTCCAGCTTTTTATCCATGAGAACCCCCAAGTCCTTCACCATACGGCTGCTCTCGTTGAGTTCCTCTCCCACTCTGTACTCGTGCCTGGGATTGTTCCCACCCAGGTGCAGCACCTTGTACTTGGACTCGTTGAACTTCATGAAGATCTCGTGGGCCCATGAGTCAGCAGCTGCTGTGTTGCCAAGATACAGATACTAGAAAAAAACCCAACGATAGCAACCAAAAGGTGTCGCTAAGGGAGAAGAGCCGCAGATCTGCACCCTCTCTGCAGGGACATATTGTTCAACACCAACAGTGGCACACGCAGGCTCAGGATGGCAATTGCTTCTTGAGCAGCCCACAGTCCTTTCCCTCCACAAAGGCTTCCCTGGCAGGACAGAGAGGTTGAGTGCCCCAGGGTGCTGATTTTCTACTTCAGACAGACAACAAAATGGCAAACTGGGTGTTTGGAAGCTGCAATTTCTGTCAGCCGGAACCAACCGCTGAGCTCGGTCCATTTTAGTAATACAGAGAGCTGATCTGGAGTTCAGAATGACTGCCCCAGCTTGCCGTAGGAGGGCAGCAGCCTACAGCCAGACGGGCGGAGGATAGGACTGTCTGTTTTGATCAGCTCACCCTTCCTCTCTGTTTTATTTATTGTCATTTGTACAAACACGGTGGAGGATAGCTATTGCTATGCCCTCAGCCGGCCATCCTGCAGCTTTAGCATGCACACAAGTCACACATGTCTATATTGTCAGTCCAGGTGTCTGGATGAGGGCTGCAGCAGGGATTATTTCATGTAGTCATACTCTGCAAAGATGCTGTATGGTAGAAGACCTCCTCTCAAGCAGGTGAAAACAGGGACAGCAAGTGGATGTAGATCCCTGTAGGAATAGATATACTTCTGGAAGAATATATAACGGAAAGTTAGAACTCATTTGCTAGGAAACCTTTCTTCTGAGGTAGTGGCTCCTTCTCAAAGGCAGTTTCAATGCTTTCCTCCCACCTCTGTATAGCAAGAGAAGTTTTCAGCCTTGCTCTCTGGTATGCAGAGAGATAACATATTTGCAGATGTGTACAAGGCCTTCTTGGGCCAGAGAGAGTGGGGAAGGAGAGAGAGAAGATACAAAAAGCCTTAGAGGAGGAGGGGTATTGCCTTTTGCCCCTGAAGGTCCGATGAGCTGCACTGTAAAAAAGTGGTCCTTGCATCTAAAATAAACCTTTTTTTTTAATCCTTCCACTGCCTTGGCATTCTTGGGAAGAATACCTGCGT